ATAAAATCCAAATCCAAAGGAGGGCATGGTGTCAGAGTTACCTTCTGACACCCGATGCAGTGGAAGCTCCAAATCCATTTACAGGGTCCCCACATGATTAAACCTCTGGTGAATCCCCTGGGACCATCCAGGGATGTGAATAGTCTTGCTTATCAGAGAGCACTATAAAGCTGATTATAGCAGGTGCTCTTTCATTAAAATGTAATAACCTTTTGACCCACTTTAAAGTTGTTTCTGATTTTTATTTTTCCTATTGCGGTTTTTCTGTTTTGTTTTGTCATTATTGTTGGGTTTTTGTTTGTTTGCTTCCTGTTGGTGTTTTGAAGTATTTTCTGCATATGAAATCCAGGATCAGTAAGTTTACAGAGAAGGGGTATGGCATAGAAGGTTGGAGGGAAATGGGGAGCTAACACTATGTATGCAAAAGAAAAAATTAGTTCTGAAATTAAATTGTGGTGATTGCACAACTCTTAATATTGAACTATTAAATTGTGTGATATGTGAATTACATGCCAATAAAACTATTTTTTTTAAAAGAAATCAAACAACGTATTGCATTGGGCAAATCTGCTGCCAATAACCTCTTTAAAGTGTTAAAGAGCCGAGATGCCGTTGAGGCTAGTGTGCACCTGAGCGAAGCCCTGAGATTTCCATTGCTTCCTGTGCACACTGGACATTCAGGAAGGAAGACTGCAGAGGGCTGATGCATTTGAAGTACGGTGTTGGCAACAGATATCGAAAGCATATGGACTTCCAGAAAAACAACACATCTGTCTTGGGAGAAGTAGAGCCAGAATGCTCCTTAGAAGCAAGGATGGTGAGACATTGTCGCGCATACTTTAGACATGCTATCAGGAGAGGCCAATTCTGGAACAGCACCTCATGCTTAGTAAAGTGTAAGGTCCGTGAGAAGAGAAAGCCTCCAGCAGATGGACTGACGGAAGACAGCAACACACAAAGGAGAGGATGGTGCAGACGCAGGCAGTGATTCGTTCTGCTGTATGCAGGGCAGCGAGCGTGGGAGCCAATTAGACAGCACCTAACAAAAACCTCCAAGAATGTACAAGAAGGTCCCAGAGCTTCAGCAACCTGGCACCGTATAGGATCAACACTCAGAAATCAGTAGTACGTATACCAGTGAGGAGCAATCCCTCAAGAACCCAATTCCGTTGACAACCGCATCTAAAAGAATAAAATACGTTAGGGAAAAACTTTACGAGGGACCTGAAAGCACTGTACCAAGAACACATTGGTAAAAGCTATGAAAGGAGACCTAAATAAGCAATGTTTATGGCTGAGAAGACAAAAATGTTAAGATGTCAAAATAATCTACAGGTTCAATGCAACCTCTGTCAAAAGCCCACGTCTTGTTGGCAGAGATGAAAAAGCCCATCCACAAATGCAAAGGGCTCTGTAAGAAAACGACCCTGAAAAAGGAGAACAAAGCAGGAGGCCTCAATCATCCCCATTCCAAAATACACTTTAAAACGACAGTAATTAAAACAGTGTGACAGGTGTAAGGACACACAGATGTCACCCCTTTCTGAACGTTTGCTCGACGCCACTTTTACTAAAGGACTACATGAGTACCTGTTTTTGTTAACCAAAAGACATCCAAAGAGGATTTTTGCTTTAAAAAATGCATATATGTGGAAAGTTCAGCATTTGTTTTGCAGCAACCCTTTAAAGTGCATAGCATCGCCCCATACAACAAAGGAGTTATCCCTAAATTGATCCAAACAGAGGGAAGCTCAAGATTTAAAAAATAATAATTTAAGAGAAAGATACTCTTTATTCCTGCATTAAAACTGAGAAGCATATAGCCAGGGCCATGACTAGCCTCATTAGTAATAATGCATCTCTCTAGAGTCGGACTGACTTGCTTAACAGCACCTAACACAACAACAACTGAACAAATACATGGATTAGACAAACACTCCCCAGGGGATGTTTTTAAAAATAACTTTGATGTGAGTTGGAAATGACTCAATGTCAATACATTTAGTTATTTTGGGATTATTATAATTTTAAAAAATATCTTTTTCTTATGAATGCCAGTAGCATCCATCCCAACTATGATCATTTAAAATGTCCCTAACACTGTCAAATGTCCTTGGTGAGGCAAAGCCACTCACAGTTGAGAATGATGGGCCTATACAAATATATGGACTCAGCTTTGAAAGAGTTCGGCATGACGGAACAGTCTAAGCAGGCGAGACCAGTTGACGTCAGAGGTACACGAGAGGCTGAGGGAAGACAGAGCCAAGTCGTAGATTCAAACAAGCATCTATGAGGTATGTTTTACAGACAACAAAGAATCATTAAAGGATTTCAGAAAAGGGGTGATAAGACTACATTTTCCTTTTAAGGACTGTTTCTTGATCAGGATGAGAGAGGATGGGAAGGGCAATGGCTATGGTAAAACCCTGGATGGTCAAATCAAAGCAGAGGAGGTTGAAAGGAGGTAGACCTACTGCGGTTGTGCCAAGGGATCGTCACACCCTGACCACATACTGCTTATCAAGGTGCCGATGGAGAGGAGCCGAAGGTTCTCGTGAAGTTCCTGACTTGGACAAATGGATGGGGAAAACAGGGCGAGTGTACACCTGTGGATAAGGATAACAAATTCCACTTTGTACGTGTTGGCCCTCGCTGTAGCTTAATCCAAATGGATGAGTAATCCTGCCACCTAGTGACAGTGTGTTGAGTCAGAAAGAGACGCAGAGGGACCCTAAGACCCAACCCCAAACCCAACACACTGACATCCATGGATTCTTGTTGGGAGCCAGCCCTAGCAGACATTCTCAAGGTCCTTCAAACAGTGACCGGCCCTAGTGGAAAATTACTGGCAGGTGGTTATGCCTTAAAAGATATCTTAGTCACCAAAGCTTCCTTGTTCTATGAAAATGTCTGAGACAGTTTGCAGTCTGTGTTACCCCTCGTCTCCTCCCGAAGTGTTCTTTGACTATTGTGCATCTGTAACTGTTCTGCAGCTACGTGACCTTGGTTGGTTATCCTCCCCACTCTTCACCCATTGGTTGAAATACTAAGCACTCATTGGACTACAGACACACCATATTGAGAATATGATGGATAGCCGATTGGTTAACATTCTTATGCTTCATTATAATAATACATGTTGGATTGGATACTGTGCAGCACACCTTATTAGAATATGCACCTCCCAGTTCCTCTTTATATTCCCCTAACTTTGCCCAAATAAACGAGCTTGATCAGCATTTGTCTTGCTCCACGTCTCCGTGTCTTTCTTTCCATCCAGGTTCGTCTCCCCCCCAAGGTCCTGCTCGTGCGTCCCGCTGGCCGGGACGCCACAGATTCTGACTCAGTACCACTCGATAGGACACAGTTGAACTGCTCTGCGGGATTTCCAAGCCTGTCAATCTTTTTCTTTCTTTTAGTACCCCTGTTTATTTAATGGGGGCAGAGTGAGTTGTTGTTTGAAGTTTGATTAGCACTTCTTCCACAAATCATACAATCCACTAATTCAGTCATGTCAAGAAGAGTTGTGCAATTATTGCCACCATCAACTTTAGAATATTTTCTTCCTTGTGCTCATTATTAGTGTATTTTTTACCTATGGCAAAAATATGTACAACAAAACATTCTCCAATCCAACACCTCCTACCTGCCATTGATTATACTCAGATGGGCAACCATTACTGATATCCTTTTGCAAATGACTCCACCACCACTGACATCAACTCAATGTCCCCTCAGCAAAAACTCTGCCCATGGTAGCCATCTATCAAGTTTGGCTTCTTTCTTTTCTTATTAGTAGTTTTCTTGATACAAAATTCTCCTATCATACACTCTCATTGTTAAGTAACTTTAAAAAAAAAGTTGTATATCCATCATCACAATCCATTCTACTGCTCCCTCCCTTCTCCATAATTCATTGTTTGCTCATCCACTCCCCTCCCTCTCCTCCCATCCCGGTCCCTGGTAAACCATTGCCTCGGTTATTGTCCCTATTCACCCATTCCTTCTGTGTTTCATAAACTGGGAAACCTAACACAAACAATTACAAAACAAAACAGAAAGGAGAAAATAATAGTAATAATAGAAAGATAAAAATAAAGAGAAAGAAAAGACCACCAGCAATATTTTAAAAGCCAGAGAAGAAATCTTAGGGGAACAGACAGCCTCATCTTTCTCCCTCCGAGTGGCTGGTGGGTTTGAACTGCCTACTTTGCAGTGAGCAGCCCAACCCTCTGCCACCAGGGCTTTTTATTGGATCCTTAGGGGACTGCTTATCTTTCACAGGTGGGCTAAAGGGGGAGGGAGGAAGTTCAAGGTGGCTGATCTATAGGCACAGCAGAGCCAGGAGGAAATGGGCATTCTCAAGATATGAAACTTGTCAGCAGAGCAACAGGCTAGAAAGGATGAAACAAAGAAGCCAGTCATTGGTAACAGCAGAGCTCCAGGAGTGTCGTGGAAGCTCAAGCCAAAGTGTGAGTGACAGAGATGGTGAGGTGTCCTGATGCGATGGCAGCCGGCCCTAGATGCAGGTCTAGTTGTCATCAAAGCTCCGTGGACGGATCAGGGCCATCTTTTGTCCATGGTTTAAATGGATTTTCCCTTTCCGTCATCATGTATGGCTGCCCTCAGGGATGTTTGTTACCTTGGTGGAATAAGGCTCCCTTTAAGATTTAGACTAAGCCTCAGAAACTCAGAGAGGAATTCTGACTCTGGCCTATAAGGTTACTATGAATTGGAATCAACTTGAAGGTCGTGAGTTTGATTGGGGGTATATGCCTCCCCTTTCTGAATAAATCTCAGGTGTCACAGTTGCCAGTCTATGCCACATTTCTCTCCTTTGTAGTGTTGTCAGGGGAGCCAGCCCCTAACAAATCATCACGGGTCCAGTAGGCACAATTGCACAGCGATAGTAAGTAAGGACTATACTAAAGCCATAGAGAATAAGAGATAGAAGAGAGATTGAAATAATGGAGTCAGACATTTCATGGTAGCATGCTCACCTCAGGCCCGCTTGATGGTCCACGTGGAAATGGAAGACATGAGGGCAGGAGAGAGGGGGAGGGGGAGGAGGACAAGGGGAGCGGGGACAGGGGAGAGAAGATGGGGGAGAGTGAACTCTTTATTGCTAACCAAGGCTTAAATATCTTTGGGGACGGGCAAGCCCCCT